TGGATGGAGCCAATGATCTGCATTGGATGGAGCACATGACGTGAAATAAATATTTATAAACATAAAACCGAAGCCAAGAGTAACGAGTAACTTTTTAAAAAACAAAATATACTTAATGTACAGTGTAAATACTTCGTTACTTGACACCTCTGGAAATAACCAGGGGCATGAGCCTGGATACAAGGATGAGCAAAGTAACCATCAATAGATGAACAAATCTGCAATGCAACAGCATGATTTTGAACACTATGCTTTTATATCCCAGGTCTCAAATCAATGACTGAACTGGATCTGACTGCAATCAACAGCTGGGATTAGGTAGCAAGATGCTTCCAGCCTTACATGGTGACTAACTGTGGTATGCTCTCTTGGCTCCTATCTGTTAGCTACAGCTAATTATTAGTCAACGCTGTGACCATAACCTTTAAATATTCATTTCACATGCCTTTTCCTGCAGCGGCTCATGTGCTCAGCTGAACAAGATAAGCTGTAGTTAAAACTCATCTTTCAAAATATACCGTGAAAATACACCGCTCAAATTAATAAAGCAAAGGCTTCCAATACCACATCCTAGATCTGACTGACTGAAATATTCTCATTTAATACTTTGTTCTGCACAAGGTTGGATTTTGTAATGACAAAAAATAATCAATGGAAATCAAATTTATTAACAAATGAAGGCCTGGATTTGGAGTCACGCACAAAATTTTAGTGGAAAAACCCTACAGGCTGATCCAACTTTAATGTAATGTCCTTAAAACAGGTCAAAATGAGGTTCAGTATTGTGTGTGGCCTCCTCATGGCATGCTCCTGATCAGGTGTCTCCTGAGGCATCTCCTCTCAGACCCGCACCAAAGCATCCGCCAACTTCTGGACAGTCTGTGGTGAAGCATGAAGTTGGTGGATGGATTGAAACATCATGTCCCAGATGTGCTTGTTCAGGTTCAGGTCTGGGGAACCACATGAAGTCAACCATATGAAGTCTAGCATTTTCCTGCATTAGGACCCAGGGCCAATCGCACCAGCATATGGTCTCACAAGGGGTCTGAGGATCTCATCTTGGTACCTAATGTGCAGCCCTCCAGAGAAATCCCTCTCCACACTATTAGTGTCTCAAGACTCTGTCACGTCTGTCACATGTGCTCTATGAACCTGCTTTCATCTGTGAGGAGCACAGGGAGCACAGTGGCAAATTTGCCAATCCTGGCTTTCTCTGGCAAATGCCAAGCGTCCGCCACTGTATTAGACTGTGAGCACAACCCACATCTATGGATATCAGGCCCTCATACCATCCTCATGGAGAAGGTTTCTGTTTGTTCAGACACATGCACGTTTTTAGGCTGCTGGAGATCATTTTGCAGGGCTCTGGCAGTGCTCCTCCTGTTCCTCCTTGCACAAAAGCACAAGTAGCGGTCCTGCTGCTGGGCATTTGCCCTCCTTATTCCCCTGCTGTACTTTCCTCTCTCCTGGTAGCGCCTCCAGCCTATGGATGCTACGCTGAAACTCAGCACAGCTCTCATTGATGTGCCATCCTGGATGAGCTGCACTACCTGAGCCAGTTATGTGAGCTGTAGAGTCCATTTCGGGCAACCGCGAGTCTGAAAACCCCACCATTCAAAAGTGACCAAAACATCAGCCAGAAGGTATAGATACTGAGAAGTGCTCTGTGGTTCTCACCTGAGGAACCACTCCTTTATTGAGTGTATCCTGCTAATTGTCAATAATTTCCACCTGTTGTCTATTCCATTTGCTCAATAGAATGTCAAATTGATGTCAGTGGTGCCAGTAGAGTTTGATTTCATAGAAGTTTGATTTGATTGAAGTTATATCGTGTTGTTTACGCATTCGCTTTATTATTTTTGAGCAGTGTATATTAGGTTGAATTAAAACAAGACAATAAAATCTTAATCTTTGTGAAACAGTTAAAAAAACATTTAGTTAATAATGAATGAATTTTGACTGCAAGGAAAAAGGTGCTTTGCCCTGCTCCATAATTAGAGAAAATAATCTATACATTTTCCTGTCTTATCTTCAATATTTTAAGAAAGTGGACTGAAAAATTAGTGTGCAAATCATGTTTAACGATAAGTGGCGTTTTAAGGTGTTGTTGGACAACTTAGATCTGTTCCAGATGGTCAGACACCAGACTTTGGCTGTGAGAGGACCTGATGATTGAATAACTAATACGGTTTCAGGCTACAATATTGTAAAAAATGAAAAAGTTCAAAGAGACAGTTTTGCAAAGCCCTGCGTGTAAGGTGATGGTATATTTACCATCCACACAGGGATGCTCTACATTATAAATGAAAACCCATCTAGAAAATGCATGTAGACCTGGAACCATCAACACTTCTGTAAAACTGAAGAGAGCATTTTTTTTTATAGAGTGATTTATTTTTATTATGGTGACAAAGAACACGTTTTGTAAATGGGCATAAAAAAAATGGTACCCAGAAATATTTAATTTTTTTCATGTTTTTTTTTTATTTTTGCAGTACAAATAGAAAATTCTGGTTTCAAAATCTTTTTGTTTTTGTTTCAAAGATGACCTTCTCTTCACTTGAAGCCCAGTAGAAACACTCGCTTATGTGTAGATTGACCAATGAAAATGTTGCGAAAATAGATGCAGGCCAATAGGTATACGTGTTCGCCCCTCAAAGCCCGTGCCCAGAAGTGAAAAGAATATTTGTACAACTCTAAAACTATATGTAAAAAAGGGAAATCTGAAAAAATAAAATGTATTTTTTAATAGAAAATAAAATTAAAAAAGAATTTGAAAAAAAAAAAAGTAATTTGAAAAAATCTAATATGAAAAAATACTCTTTGATTAAGAAGTCTTTCAAAGTTTTATTTCTGGATTGCATTTTTCCCCCCCAAAACTAGAAAGCATGTTCTTTTTCTGCAAGAATACTGGAACAAAATTCACTCCATATTTTTTCCCAAATTTACAAACAATAAGGCAATAAACTGTCAGTCTAAATAAAATCTAACCTGCATCACCCAGTGACTACAAACAGGATCAATAACTTTGATGGAAACTATTACATCCTAACTGCAATAGCGTAAACAATTGAAGACAAACCGTACGACACAATCCAAGTTTTTAATCAAATGAAAAAGTAAACAATACATTGATGCAGTAAATATGTTATAACGGATAGAAAAACTACATCTAGGACGTTTCTTAATGTTGTTGTGATCAAGAATACAGCTAAAATGAGAACCGATTCAGACACTCCTGGCAGAGATGGATGGACATTACAGTGTTAGAATAAATCTAAATACCTGCCGGATTTAGAAGTATTTATGTGCAGAACATTGTTGCTTATTGCAGTTCTGCTCTTCAATGAGAAACACTATAAAATAAGACGGGCTAACAGCCACGCTGGGTTAACTAATCTGTGTTCTGCTTATCATATACTTTGCTAGTTTATCCCATAACCTTCCAAGGAATCACTCTTTGCCTCTAAAACAAGAACAGTGAGGGAAAGTGATGCGTTCAGGCTCCGCCCGCTCCTCCACTTTCTCTGTTTGGCTTTTCATTAAAGGGACTTTGGTCCTACGAACTAACAGCCAAGAACAGAAAGCTCTCTATAGCTAAGAGAGGCTGAAATGGGATTTAGAGAGAAGAAATGTCATTTTTCTAGCTTTGAACCCTCAAACAGACATGACGGGAAGTCCAAGTGAGTAAAAAGGAAGGAGAGCAGCGTTAAGTAGTGCATGGTTTTCTGTCCGTATCACTCTAGTGGAGCAGCAGAGATACACAGGTTGTTTAAGGCACAGGCGACTTGGACGATCTTATCAAAGGTTGAGAGGTTGGACGTGCACTCGCCAGCGGCGCTGAAGGCGTTCTCGACGGGGCCTGTGAGCATGGCGTACCTCTGCTTCACTATGGAGATCACCCTCTCCACGTGCCTCTGCACCATCGCCGTCTCAGACGCGACGTCCACCCCCTCTGATCTAATGCAAGCTGCGATTTTAAAAGAAGCTCCGCGGGCCGCCACAGAGTCTGCGATGTCCAGGTCGCGGCAGGACAGAACCACATCGCCTGGGAGAAGCTTGCACAGGAACCCACAGCTCTCTGCCAGGCTCTTGTCGCTGACGCTTCCGGGCGCACCCCGAGAGACGAAAGTGACGACCCCTTGCGGAGCTACGCCGATTAGGTACTTTAATGAGCTGAAAGTTGGCCTCGATCGGTCGGAGTGTGAGGGCGTCATCTCTGCTTCGGCTGAGAGCGGCTCCTCGAGGGCGACTGTGAAGCAGTCGACGATGACGGCGCAGTCTGGGTGGGAGGCTCGCAGAGCTGTAGGCAGGTTTTTGCGGAGCTCGGCTCTAGAAGGCCAAAAAACGGCAGTGGGAACCAAAGTGGAGGCCATGATGTTGACCATACGGTGGACGGTTCTGGCCACGGTGCCGACCTTCACCCCGAAGCGGTAGGCCAGGTCTTGATTGCGGAGGTCCAGCCGGAGGCGCATGAGCGTCAGCAGCAGCTGCTGGAACTTGGAGAGCCTGATGGTTTTCATGGCATCCATGTGTGGCGCCAGTAGCCACATAACGGTCTCCAGGACAAAGTAGTTGGGTAAACCGGTGTAGAACTTCACCTTCTCAGCGTCGTTCCGGAATGCGCTCTCAGACAGAGACATCTTTTCCACCGACTCCCTAAGAGCCCGGTTCTCCTTCTTTAAGGCTTTCAGGATATCGTCAAAGTTGACGGACAGTTCAGACATCTGGGTAAATTTTCCCTTCTTTCTGCCTCTCGCAGAAGCTTCGTCGTGTTCATCATCTTCATCAGAGCTAAAGGTGGAGGATTCGCTCTTTTCAGCGACGGCCTCTGGCTCCGCCTTCTCAGGACGCTCCTCTTGGCTCGGGCCATCCAGGCCAGAACTGCCCTGGCCCTGAAGGAACAACAGGGCATTGGCGGCTTCGACCCGCGCCTCCTGCTTCTCCAGGATCTCCACGGCACCCGGCTCCTTCATTTCTGGGAAGAAGGGAACTCGGTTGAACACAGAGGGAACATAATCGGGCGAATGTGGATTCTTTGTTTACCTAGAAGTGGACAATCAGGAGAACAATGAGACTCATTTATTGATGAACAGTGCAGAAGGGTAGAATTCAAGTTATGTGTTAGAGGAGGGAAACACACATGGGTCAGGTTAGATGCCTAATATTTCACCCAGGGAAGGGAGATTGAGATAGTGGACTCTTATAAGTACCTGAATAACAAACTGGACTCACAACTCTGAGGCTCCGTATAAGAAAGGTCAGAGCAGACTCTTCCTGCTGAGGAGCCTGAGGTCTTTTGGGGTGCAGGGGGCGCTTCTAAAGACCCTCTATGACTCTGTTGTGGCATCAGCCATCTTCTATGGAGCTGTCTGTTGGAGCAGTAGTTTATCTGTAGCTGAGAGAAAGCAGCTGGATAATCTGATCAGGAAGGGCAGCTCTGTGATTGGATTCCCTCTGGACTCAGTGCAGGAGGTGGGAAACAAAAGGATCCTAAAGCCGGTCATACACTGTGCGGTTTTTTCGATCTTTGTATGCAGCTATAGCTCACACTGTAGGAGCAAACCCTGTGGTTTGCTCCTACAGTGTGAGTTCACAGCTCACGATGTATGTGTAATGGTTAACGTCCTGTTATTTTACAGCACCAAAGTTGTTACATTAATGCTGATTTTGCTCAGTTTTTAGCTTAGTCAGTTAAATAACACGCTGCTGTCATTTTGCACATCTCTGATGTTGCTGCTGCTTTAAAATATCCAATAAAAATGTCCATAGCTGTATATTGGTTATTTACTCTCCAGGTGTACAGTTTTATAGTGTTGTGACACTTTACAGTACAGTAATTTATTGTTTACCTTTTAACTCTTAACTACACATTTTTCGAAGGTCAGGATTTGTGTGACCTTTTTTTTTTTCTATAATCTTTTTCACCAAAATGTTCCCATTGTGGGACGATAAAGGGATTTTCTATTCTATTCTCCTTTTTTCTTCCTTTCCTCTTTTTCTAAATCATTTTCCCACTTTTTCGGATTTTTCCTCCCTCTTTTTATCATATTTTACAATTTCCTCTTCAAGTAAAGAGAAAATAAAAAAGTTAAACTCCTTTTTTGCATATACTATAGAAACAATCTTTCTTTTTCAGACAGACAGCAATGTGAGCTCTGTGGCGCTCTGACACTTCAGCTTCATAGAAATACTTCAGCTGTCTGAAGAATACGGAGATCGGGGTCACCCTACATGCATTCAGACAGTGACAGTCAGAGGAAGCAACACGGCATGTTTATGCCGTCTTGAAATAAACAAGCAACCTTTAGCGTGAAACATCATCTCTGTGCGTTTCTTTTGCAAACTCAAATTCGTCTTTTTACATTCCTTTTTGAAGAAATGGCCTCTTCACAGCTCTGAGGTCTTTAAATAATGTCCCTTTTTTCACGTTTAATTGTCTGAACAGATAAAACTTTTCCCTGTTGACATCTAGGAAGTGTATAGAAGGATAAAAATTGTGATATAGTATGGGGGGAAGTGTTTATTTAAACTTTAAACCAAACTTTTAGTTTGGTTTGGTATTTGTATATTATTTGTCTGCTAAGATTAAAAGTTTTTACAATTTAAATGCTAAATACCATCCTAACATAAAAAGCTGAAAAGCCATTTAAGAAAAATATAAATAAATAAATCTCCGCTCTGCTGAGAGGGCTTCTAAAACTGCGTTGTGCGCACATTACAAGGAGGCCAGAGACTAAACACTTCCCTGGAGGATTCAAAACATCCCAGAAATTCACTGGACTCAATCGGCTCATGCTGGAAAGAATCTTTTAAAGACTCTGCAAAAAAAAAAACACCCTGATGTATGAAACACAGCCTCCTCATCACTTCCTCCCTCCCTCTACAGACACTTGGAAGGCGACTCGAGGCCCTTTAAGGACACCAGCAAACATCTTCAGCTCCAACAAATTCAGTCAGTCTCACTTTAAACAATACTTACAAAATGACCACTTTAGTTAAACATTCAATACTACACCTAGGGATTAAAGTTTCTTCAATTGTAAATCAAGAATTTAGGAAATATTCATTATATTTTAAAATTTGGTGCTTGCCTTTCATATAGATTTACATCAACTATAGTAATGGTTAAATTAAATGAATGATAATCAGCTATGTTCTTTATAATAAAACTCTCCTTTTGATAAAGCCTATAGTTAGAGTGGCTCAGGTTATCCTGAGCTATCTTTATAGTTATGCTGCTATAGGCTTAGACTTCTGGAGGACATTGGGACTCTTTTTCATCATTCTGCTTCATTCTGTCTCTATTCTCCCACTCTGCAGAATCTGTTAGTTCAATCTCTAACGTTCTGCTCTCTCTGCTTTTTCTCATAGTAGCTTTGCCTCGTCTGTTCCTGTTTGGCTGTGACTCCATCCTGGGGAGAAATATCAGCTGTGCTGCTGCCATCAACACCTTTGTTTCTAGATGTTCAATATCTGCCTGTTTTCTAGTGTA